TTTAAATCTGATTCTGTAAAAGGTTCTCCATTTCATCCTCACTATTTGCCTTCCCACCAAAGTTTGCGTCATCCGCAAACTTGGCAATTGTGCATCCACTTAAATCATCCAAGTCGATAATGTATATTGTAAATTTTATCCCAACTCTCTAACAGTTAGCCAATCCTCTAACCATGCTAACATACCGGTGCAATACCATGGGGTCCTATCTTATTAAGTAGCCTTACATGCAGTACCTAATTAAATGCCTTTTGAAAATCCAGATGTGTTACATCTATTAGTTGCCTTTATATATGCTGGTTGTTATCTCCCCAAATAACTCTAATGGATTTATCAGGCACAGTGTCTCCTTGATGAAGCCAAACTGACTGTGCTTTATTACATTACATATTTCTAAATGCTCTACTATTACATCTGTAATAGTCTCTAGCATCTTCCAAATGACTGATGCTAAGCTAATAGACTGTACTTATCTGATTGTTTTGTCTCCCTTTCTGAATAAGACGGCAAATATTCTCATGTCTGTGTTAAAAGACTTTCAATGGATTCTGAGTGACTATTTTTAATTTCAATACATTTATATTTTCTGAAAGGATACTTGTGTTTTTATAATCTAACACAAGGGGGAGCCAGCAGTACAGTCAATGTGCAGGATCATTCCAAATGTATTGGTCTTTTCTCAGTGAAATTTGAGTGTTTGCAGGTCCCATTCTTGTACATTTTAACACATTTAAATAGCATTTTCTTGCTGGTAGCAGTGGTTGTTATTAATGATTCCACAGTGAATCAGATTTTCAGTCAAAATATTGATGCAATGTATCATATTTTGTTGTAGATTACCAGATTAATTATTAATTTTCATTGTTTAGAACTCTTTTTTTAATTACGATTTTGGGACAAAACTATATTTAATGGTTGTATTTTAAAATAAAGTGAATTTTAAATGTTAAAAGTCTTAAAATTTTAAAACTACATTTTAAAAGTCCCTGAGTTAAAAGCATCTAAGATTTTATTCAAGACAAGGTAGGCAGACAGGAGACTGGAAGAACACAGCAAGCCAGGTGGCATCTCGAGGAAAGGAGCAGTCAATGTTTCAGATATAAGCCTAGTCCTGAGGAAGGGTTATACCTGAAACATTGACTGCTCCTTTCCTCCAGATTCTGCTTGGCTTGCTGTGTTCTTCCAGCCTCCTGCTAGTCCACCTTGGATTTCATCATCTGCAGTTTGTTTGTCTTTATTCAAGGCAAGACAGCTTATGAAATGCCACATCTTATAGACTATTTGAAACTCTTATACTGAGCACCCATTGTCTCAATCAAGATCCATCAGCTGGTATCATAAGGAATGTTACTAACTCATTATCCCTCCCTAATGGCCTGAAAATATTCACAAGTATTTGGGTAAATATGCTTCTATTCACAAGAACACCATCTCATTGCTTCAAGGAGTCAAAATAATCAGAATGGAGGGAGAGACCTGTATTCAGACAATGTCAGTGAGAAACATCCCTAAATCTGAGGTTGGAATCTAACATGCAGAATGTCAGCATCCCAAATGTTTATGACGGTTTGTGACAGAATTCAGTACAACCAGAAAACAACTGATTTCTGCTGTCCATTGGATTTCTCCTAGCTCTGTTCATGCAAATATCAGTAGCTCTATAGCCCTATCAACCTCATTGCATCCTCACGGCACATCTCCCATCCACTTACAACACAGTTCTACATTTCAGTGGTGCACTTTGGAGCACAGTAGCACCTTTCATTGTCAACAAAAGCAGAAATTGCTGGAAAAGCTCAGCAGGTCTGACATCATCTGTGAAGAGAAATCAGTGTTAACGTTTTGGGTCCAGTGATCCTTCCTCAGAACTCACCTTTCATTGCTATATTCCTGCAAGGACACTTTGAAGTATTCAGGATGTCTTGCACTGGATGTTGCTACATTGGATATGTTGCAGGACGCCACTGTGCTGTATCACGCCTGTACATTGCGGAGATCCTTGATTATCAGGCTGAGTTGGCAACGTACTGTGTCATGTGAGACCTGTATTGTCTTCCATGCTCATGTGGCTGGTAAATGAAAACCAGGAATGGAAAATGGCCGTGACCGCACCCTAAGCAGACTAAGGATTTGTTTTTCTCTGAGAATGTGGGATCTGCTTGTGAGCAATGTAAGGCATTTCAAATGGCAACCACATTAATCAGATACTTTTGCTGCACAGGGTGAAGCCATCCATGATCACAGCACCCTACATATTAAATGCATGCAGTGTCAAACTGTGTAGGATACAAATCCTGGTCACAAACATTTCTGACATGTCATTGGTCATGAAGACAGTCACCTAGATGAAACAGATGTAAATTCACAAAGACAATCCAAGATCTCATAGGCTTGGCATAAATTTCGTCTCACCTTGAGCTGTAAATAATTACTAATATGCTTGCATGGGGAGGTGTTGGCCTACTGGTGTTATTGCTGGACTGTTAATTCAGAGACCTAGATAACACTCTGGGGAACTAGGTTCAAATCCTGCCATGGCAGATGGTGGAATTTGAATTCAATAAAATATTTGGAACTAAGAGTCCAATGATGATCACAAATCCATTGCCGATTGTCGGAAAGGTTTAAGAGAAGGAAACTGCCATTCTTACCTGTTCTGGCCTACATGTGACTGCAGACCCACAGCAATGTGGTGGACTCTGAACTGCCCTCTGGGCATTTAGGGATGGGCAATAAATGTTGCATGGTCAGCGATGCCCTCGTCACGTGAATGAACAAAAAAAAATGGAATGCTGCCTTTCTTAAGTGACTTGAGGGTAGAGGAGAGGTATCAGTAATTATGCAGCATTTGCAATCTCATAGCGTATTTGTGCAGTATGGCTTATAATGCATTCATCAGAATAAAGTCCCTATATCAAAGGTTCGTGGCGAGGCATTGTCAGAGTCCTCCATATAAAACTGTGTGGAGGACTAAAACTGTCATTTATGTATGATGCAAATGCTGATTGCTCACATTACTAAGGACCTGTTCTGTTTCTGATATTCCCCACACAGGTTCATTGGAACCATGACCACTGGATCCAGCCATAGCAGGGTCATTGTTGCTGTGCCTGTGATGCAATGAAGGCAGAAAGAAACGGAGGGCCAACAGATGCATCAGCAAGCCCAAGACCAGCAGCAACCTCCAGTTGATGTTCAACAGCCTCCACAGAATTGGTCACAGTTAAGGTCACCTCAGGATGCACAGGGCCAGAGCATATCATCCTCCATTTCCTCCAGATGAGCAAGTCATAGTGTGAGTACAGGCTGAGGATGTCTCACAACACTGTCACAGAGAGGAGTGCAATGTAAAGGGCTGGCTGGGTACTCTATTGCATTACTTATCAAGGTAACAACTGCACTAAACTTTTACGCAACTGGCTGCTTCCAAATTTCCACTGAGAATCTGTATGGGATCTCACAAACCTCAAACTACAAATGTATTAAGACTGTTTCCAATGCAATTTATGCCAGATCACATCACTGCATCTCATTTGCCCATGACAAGATCAATGCTGCAGACCAAGCACTAGGCTTTGCCAATCTAACTGGCTCTCCACAGGTGCAGGGAGCTATTGCCTGTACTCATGTCACGTTGAGAGGGTGATATTACAACTCAGTTGGCTTCATCAATAGAAAATGTTCCATTCCTTCAATCTATAAGTCAACTGTGATCATTGGTACAACATCTTAGAAGTCTGTATCAGGTAACTTGGGTGCTGCCATATTGCTTATATTGTTGAGAAGGCTCATATTCCTGCTTCAATTCAAAGTACAGGTTGTCTTTCCAGGGTGATTTCTGGGAGACAAGGGCTACTGTGTGCAACTGTGGCTGACTCCTTTACCTGGTGACTGAAGCTGAATAGAGATACAATGCATCCTATTCTTCAATCAGGGCCATCATAGAGATTATGGTAGGTCTGCTGAATTTGATGCTTGGATCAGTCTGGGAAAACCTTGTAGTACATGCTGGACAAAGTGTGCCATTTAATTTTAGTGTGCTGTGCTCTGCCCAACCAAAGCAAAAAGGAGACATGACGGACTCTAAAGACCCGGGAGAGAATCAGTAACCTTCCGAAGAGGAAGCTGAGGGCATTCCGCAGGAAGAACATCACCATCTGTACTTTAGAGCTCTGCAGCATTAAGCAAAATAAAAAAGACAGGACACCACTTCCAGTAGATGGGATCTGGGTCCAGTGGTCACTCATTGACTGTAAATTTTACGGTGCTTGAAAGGCAAGCTATCCCTCTCTCACAAAGGCATATACAGCCTCTGTTCATTCACAAGAGCATAGAGGATGCCAACTGGAGGAGACGTGACATCAGCAGATTTAATATTTTAAAACATTTCTCTGAATATCTCAAAGCATGTAGGACAGGATTAAGCACCAAATATGTGTTCTTATTCAAATTGAGTTTGAAGATGTAGAACACCCATCAATGGTTTAAATTTTAAAAAATTAGACCAGAACCTGGTCTTCCACTTGTCCATTGACATAGGCTTGCTTTACAGTTTGATAAAGAATAAAAATCTGATAACAACATTCTTACTGCTTTATGTTCTTGATCTCCTCAGGTGATGTTGACTTTTTAATTATTATTACAGTCAGTGACAAACAATGACATTCAACGCTGACATTGAAGAAAGCTTCCCAAGAAAGACCAAGAGATTTTTGTGGAGGAGATTTCACCCTTCCCAACATTAATTTGAGCCTGGTGCCAACTCTAGGGGTTTCTGGACATCTAGCAACAGTAATGTCATCAGTTTGTGAAGGAAGTCAATCACATTAAGGTATTCACATATAGCGAACTAGGGAGTAAAATGTCCCAACTATCCATGACTCAGCACACGTTTTACAGCAAGCACAATTATGAGTGAGGCATACACAGTAGAAACTGAAAACAAACATTAAAAAGTTTTATTACATCAAAAACTTGAGAAATTTTATGAGACTGGAAAAACAAATTACATTACATAAATATAAAAGTAGATTTCCAGGGCCCAAGATGATGTTTAACAGGAGTAAGGACTTAGTTTGTCATTGGAGACACAGTTACACATCATTAGCAAGGCATAGTTTTTAGAGATATTCTTAAATGATATTACAGCGCAACAGGACAAGTTGTCATCAATTTGTTCTAATTGACTGCAGTCTGTAGGGACTTCAGCAGCGCACCTTAAGGAGAAGCAATGAATCACTGACAGCAACATTTAAATTTCCACATTTAACCACACATGAGCAGACTCTGGAAGTTGCTGTCATTTTAAGGACAAAATGATTGTGAACACTGTTCATTTTACTATCATTACTATTTAAAAATTCCAGTCAATATTTTGCTTGTGCAGGATTTACTGATCTTATAATGTGCTTAGCACCTTGTCCCAAATTTAGGAAAACTTGCAAAGTTAGGCTACAGTTTACAAATATACAATTAGTTAACAAGAATTTTAATACCAATTTAAATAGTGTAACTACAAGTTAAATATTCAGTGGCTAATTTGGGGTCAAGTTTCCACTTTAGATGTTCTCAGAAAACTGTATTCCAAAGTGATGTTATGGATCAAACTTATTTGCATAATTACAAATGTAAAATCTTCCATGAATCAGCACAATCAGACCACATGATGGAATACAATAACATATTTTCATGATCTTTGTATTAACATTCGGTGTATTTCAGACTGTAGAACTGACCCTATCGAAAGAAAAGGATGTTTAACAAGAATATCTAGTCCTCTCTAACCTCATTTAAAATCATGACAATGTCATTAAAAAAACTGAATCATTTACTAGTTCCATTGATGTATACTAGACATTTTTTTTGTGAAACGTAGAAACTTGTAAAACATGTGCTTAAAATAACTAAACTGAATTTGAAGCGCATCCTTCTATGGGAATAAACAGGTGCAATCAACAGAAACATGCCTGCTGACTATTTCAATCTGAGGGCACACCCAGGACTGACTCTAGCACAATATTTTTAAACAAGTATTGTATAGTACAGAAACTCAAGTTACATTTAACATAACTTGTGGTTAATTTTCAAACTCTTTTGTTTAGGTTTGGCTGATTTCAGCTGAGCTGCACTGAGGAAAGTAGTACAAAGTAGCAGAGCTATATGGCCTGACGAGGCTGCTAAAATACCATATATTCTGCAATCTCAACTGAATTTTATTTTTTTTTGCTGCTCTTTACCTGCTGCTTTGTTCGGTTTAACTTTAAATATTGGCTGTAATTGCATCCACAATTTTATGTAAAATAATATCTTAAAGAACGAAGAAAGTTCTTGTCTTTAAATATATAATCTGTACCACCAGTTGTTTCTAACTCTTCTAGTTCTGGGTAAATCTGAGTAACAGAAATTCCAGGAATTCATTTTTGTGAACTCTGTTGTGCCACAGTCAAGATTGTCGATTACTAATTGCTAAACTGGCAGAGTGCAATAATTTCTCAATAGTTGAAAATAATTCTTGCAGTTGGAACAATTGTGAATATTGTAAGGATCATATTATTTAACCTTCTTAAAAATAACTTTGCCAATTCACAGAATGACAATAAAACAACATTGAGATGGTTACTAAAACAAACTTAAAATAGAAAAAAAATTCCAATCGTAGCAATGCATAGAAAAATGTTCCAAACATACATATTAATATGATAGATTGTACAACAGTAAAAGCCAAAGAGCAAGTAGAAGGAGGCTGTGGCCTCAAAGAAAGCAAACATATGCTATGCAGATTTCAAATATTATTGTCCACAATAATTCCTAAAAGTTATTGCATTTTTATACTACTGAATTTTTGCCTTGGATTGTGTCAAATTCTCTGTAACAAAGCCGTAAAGTGCTGAGTCATAATTCTTTGTCCAAGCTAAAGATCCTCTTGCTCCTGGAGAGTTTGATACATGCTGTCAAATATGGCTTCTTGACAAATAAACTGAAGGTTCAGATTTATGCTCATTCCTTTTCCTCCTGTGGTCCTTCAATAAATATCATTGAGCATGCATTTTGGCACAAGCCGAACCTTTTCATTTTGCTGCATTTTCTCCACTTCACAGGTTCCTTTACTCCAAGTAGTTCCAAGGTGGCATTCAAAAGACAGTTAAAAACATTCCAAGAAAATATACACTTTATAAAGTGATCAAGGTGACTTGTGTGTCTTTTTCATAATATTCTTAGCAATGTTTGGCAGTGCTTACACAACATGTCCACAAAAATAGCCAGGGTTAAATATAAATTTTCTATAAAATTCAAGTCATCAAATTCACATACACATACCAGCAAATTAAGAGCTGATCTGTTTTTATCTTAATTAGTGGTAAGTGTCCATCATTTAGTAAAAGTGCTGTACTTTGTTCAATAAGTTGTTTCTAGGATGTACCTTCAGAAAGTACTTCAGCTTTATTTCTTTAGTTTTGTGATGTCACAACTTTGTTTTAACAATAACAAAGTACAGATATTAGTCAACCAGCAAACTCTGTGGATTTAAGTGATGAATGTTCACTAAAATTTAGCTTCCTTTTGACAATGCTGCACGTTGCTTTATAACCCACTCAGCCTGAGGGTTAATCCTGTACAGTTCCAGGATAAGTGCGTCAGGATCAAGACAGTGTTCACCTGTTAAAATATAAACCAAAAATTTAACTGGTGACCAAAGAAGCACAGCAATTTAAAAGTCCACTTTTACAGTATGAAATCCCACAGGCATGGCAGAGTTCATCCATTAACCTGTCATCAGTCACTTCATCTGAGCCAGGCCACTGGTGAGAGTACAATACTTGGTTTCAGTCTTTCACCATTATGAAAACAATTTGCACTCCCAAGTCCTTCATCATATGTCCAAATCCAGATAAGGACAAGACTGAATTAAGTCCCCACAGGTCAGCTCATACTGAATACTCTTCAAGCTCAGAAGAATAGGGAAAAAAAAGTAAAGAACTACTAATACTTATCTTATTTAACATCAGATCAAATTAATACAGTGCATTTCTGGTGAAATTAGATATGCTGGAGTTTGTTTCTTTGGTTGAAGAAGTAACTAACATAAAAAAAACAGTAAATGATAAGGATTGTTAGTGCAATTATAGTGTGGCAGGATCACTGAAACAAATGTGCTAAAAACATGGGCAGAATATTTCCAGCTCTAGGTAGCAGGCTGGGGGAGTGGGTGGGTTCGGGAACATAGTGAGGAGATTGTTGGGATGTTTTCCTAATATAGCTCACTGCCAGGAGGTTTACCAACTGCAATCAAACTCATATCAGCTGCTAATTGATGGAGATAAGTAACAAATTCAAATAATTCAAGAGCCTATTGAGGGCGATTTTCTCAGGCCACTGGCATTTAGTGGCAACAGAGCAGCTGCTGACTACATAGGGAGGAAACCAGTTTCAAATTGGCAGCTTCCCTGCAGCCATCTGGTGGGTGATTTGAGCTTGAGGCGATGGTAACTTGAGTATTGGATACAGCAAGGAACGCTCTGTATTTGATGGGGAGTTGTTTGACCTGGGAGGGGGTGGTTTTACCAGTCATAGGACAGACAAAACATGTAAGAAGAATGAAGAGCACCTTCATTAAAAGCTTGTTAAATTTGTGACAGTGTTGTTCTTTCAGTCTGAGGGGGGATTTAGGCTATAGATTCCAAGAAGGGGGCTGCAGGCAGGAATGGCATCCCTGATATTGGAAACTGCGATCCCTTTAAAACGGAATCTCTCTAGTATATCCAGTACAGCAAGGAATAAACTATTTCTAAACAAGGACAAGAGGAAGGTGCAATAAAAGTCACAAGAATCAACAGGATCCCCAAGGCCATTATATGCCCTTGAACAGATATCAAAATTTTATCTGGCCACAACATTACCGTACTGGCGATGCAGTGTTTAGAAAAATAAAAGTTTTTGTTCTTATGGGAATGAAACTGATAATGATGCAGGTGGGCAAGGGGTAATGGTTATTTTGACATCTTGCGTAGTTGTGGCTTACCCACTGACTTAAAAGGATTCAGACAAGTGATTGACACACTGTAGATTCTGATCCCCATGGTAGGGCATATCAAAAAATCTGCTTCAGGGTCCTTGACTGGCAACTGCCTTCCTCAGGTGGAGAATAGGCCAAAAAAGCTGAAGTGATTACCCAGAAAAGAGATTCCTAACACTTTGGCTGCAGAGCAGGAAGCTTCCTTCACAACTTAAATAAGTTCAACACAATCTGTGTGAACGACCTGTTCGTCCTTTGGTATCAATGGGCCATCCTCAATTGGCATGGTTCACAATACCTTTTTTTTTGTCTAATTAACTAATGCATCATAAATGAACTGCTGCATCTTAACAAACTTAATAAACTATCTGAAAATTTCTTCCGAATGGTCAACTGCCTATACTAGGCAATTGAAATCACAAACCCCAAAATCGAACACTGCAGCCCAATTGGTCATCTAAAGGGGGCTGCTTGCTTGTAGTGCCAGCTCAATCTCCAACATGTCAAGAGAGTATTCACCTCTGCCAAAAGGAGCTGCCACTACAGAGCTTCTAACACTGATTCAACCAGAACATATTTGCATCTCACCCACTGCCCACGACTGGAAGGCAGACTCAGAGGTGGCTAATTAGGAGACTATATCCATGGAAATATTTCATTAATCCCCCTGTCAGTAAGTGCAAGCTCATGGCCCCCATTTCTTGCTAATGTCATAGTCCCAAATCTGCGGGCAAATCCAGTTTAGGAATTGTATCAGCAGCAGCAGCAGATTAAGGTATAAAATTAAATTAAGCCTTTTTTTTCTCAATAACTGGACATCCAGAATTTTTCAAACAGAAGAGTGAATTACTTTGAGATCATTCACTGCCAATATGTGGTATTATGTAAGAACCAAGACTTACTGCAATGGAGGATTGTGGTGCAGAACCAAAATTTGAGCACAGCAGCTCAATGCTCCCATTAGATGCTACAAATTCAATGTTTTATAAGAGATTTATGTTTTGTCCCCCTTCTTCCTCAACCGAGGATTCCCCAGCACCATTGTCAACAGGGCCCTCAACTGGGTCCAACCCATCTCCCGCACTTCCGCCCTCACCCCTTCTCTTTCCTCCTGAAACAGCGATACGGTTCCCCTTGTCCTTACCTACCATCCCACCAGCATCCACATCCAGATGATCATCAGATGCTATTTTCGCCACCTCCACCACCTCCATCGAGATTCCACTACCAGAAACATACCTTGTCCACCTTCTGCAGGGACCATTCCCTCTGGGATACCCTGGCCCACTCTTCCTTCATCCCCAACACCCAGCCACAGCCCCACGGCACCTTCCCCTGTAACTGGCGAAGGTGCAACACCTGCCCATTTATTTCCTCCCTCGCCAGTATCCAAGGGCCCAAACATACCTTCCAGGTGAAGCAGCACTTCACCTGCACCTCCCAGAATCTAGTCTACTGGATTTGCTGCTCACAATGTGGTCTCCTCTAACTGAGGAAATGAAGGATAGACTGGGTGACCGCTGTGCAGAACATCTACATTCTGCTCGCAAAAAAGACCCTGAGCTTCCAGTTGCCTGCCACTTCAACACCCCACCCTGTTCCCTGGCCAACATTCCTGTCTCAGGCTTGCTGCAGTGTTCCAGTGAAGCTCAGCACAAGCTGGAGGAACAACACCTCATTTTCCGCTTGGGGAGCCTGCAGCCCTCTGGACTCAATATCAAGTTCAACAATTTTAGGGCCTAAACTCTCCTATGTCCTAGCCCCCTACCCTACACACCAGGCCTTGTTATCACACAGTCTGCCATTACACACTACCTACTGTTAGTCACTAACAGTTCCCATTCACAACTATTCACTCTCCTAGCCAGATTGTTATCAACTCCTTTGTCTATCCAATTGCTCTTCTCTCTGTACTAGGGTGCTATCCTATATTTTATTCCCTACCCCATCCCCCTCCCTATTTTCTGCACATAAACCAATGTTTTCCCAGCGGCTATCAGTTCTGAGGAAGGGTCACTGGACCTGAAACGTTAACTCTGATTTTTTCTTCACAGATGCTGCCAGACCTGCTGAGCTTTTCCAGCAACTTCTGTTTTTGTTATGTTTTGGACTGTCTCTTTAACATGAAAAGGTGTCATGAAGAACATCGTGTGATCTGTTATGACCTCTTCCTGACTAGAAACTGTGCAGTCTGGACACCAAGAGGAGAGCGGGCCTGAGGAAGTACTTAGTGAGGGCATGGGCAGTGCTTTAACACTGGAAACAAAAGGTAGGAGCAAGTGTTCATGTTCTTATATACTTATTCTCTCAGGAACTGCAAACAGGACCAGAGAGAGAGATGGCAAGAAAAATAGTGTTGTCAGACTGAACAACAGGTGCTGCAGTGGAGAAAGGCTGCTTTCCTTGTTTATGTTTAGAGTCTTAATTGCCCACAAAATAATGTTTGGTCAATGTTCCTTTTAGATTGTTGTTAGAGAAGCCTTAAAACTTGAAATCTTTTTCTGCAATTCCTTTGAGTCTGTCACTGGGAATTCAAGTGTCATTTTTAAAAGATTAGCAATCTCCCCAGTGTTTGAAACATTGGTATGCATTAGCTTGTTACTTGTAATTTTCATCAAACGCCAATCCAGAAAAGAAGTTTTACTTTTTCTGTTGCTTGGATTGGCTACAGTGGTAATTCTAAATATTGCGATAGAATTGAATTTGTTCACTATCACTTCATTAATTACAGTGGCAACACTGCTTTAAACTAAGAATGTCATCAAGGTGTTCAAAATAATATTTCATGCAGTACCCACCTATATTACCACCCACTTCGTACAGGCAGAACTCTGGACAATCAGTAGAACTATTGTTTCTGAAATGGAAGAAAAAATAATCTTCAGTACTGTTCGATTATTATGCTTCAACAAAAATGATTAATGATCGAAAACAACATTTATTTAAGTTCTGATCAGACAATGGTTTTTAATGCTGAAGTTACATTTCTCGCAATACAAATGTTGTATAATTCCTGGATTTCACTTCAGTGCTCTGTGGCACATTCACTGAGTCATGATCCAGAAATCTCTGTCCTTGCAGGATACTAAAAATGATACAACAGCTGTAGCAGTGCATGTGTTGGTTTCTGCATCAAGTAGCAGATTACTAGTGACTGTGGAGTCAAAATATGTGAAGTTATCCAACCTCCAGTGTAAATTTCTCAATGCCCATTGATGGTTGTACATTCATTCATGGCATGCGTCTTCCTGATGCTCGTGGCTGAGAGTCTAGCCATTTGCTACTGTAGGTCTTCATCAATATGGCAACTTTCTGATCAGGTTTAACTCACCTTTGATTTGGATCTCATGCAAACAAGGTTGATCAGCTTTCACTCACTTCTAGTATCTAAGTAGACTGCAGATGACTTGAAGGCATAAGACATCAGCCAAGTGAAGAATATGCAAAGGATGTCAGTATCAGAGGCGGGAAGGCTGCAGAAGGATTTGGACAGGTTAGGAGAGCGGGCAACGAAGTGGCAGATAGAGCACAACGTGGGAAAATGTGATGTCATGCACTTTGGTAAGAAGAATAGAAACATGGACTACTTTCTAAATGGGCAGAAAATTCAGAAGCCTGAAGTGCAAAGAGACTTGGGAGTTCTAGTCCAGGATTTTCTCAAGGTAAACTTGCAGGTTGAGTCATTAGTTGGGAAGGCAAATGCAACTTTGGAATTTATTTTGAGAGGACTCGAATATAAAAGCAGGGATGTAATTCTGAAGCTCTTTCAGGCTCTGGTCAGGCCACATTTGGAGTATTGTGCGCAGTTATGGGCCCCATATCTCAGGAAAGATGTACTGGCCCTGGAGCAGGTTCAAAGGAGGTTCGTGAGTATGGTCCCAGGAATGAAAAGCTTAACATATGTGGAATGTTTGAAGACTCTGGGTCTATACTCGTTGGAGTTTAGAAGGAGGAGGGGAGATCTAATTGAAACTTACAGAATACTGAATGGTCTGGACAGAGTGGATATTGGGAAGATGCTTCCATTGGTAGGAGAGACTCGGACCCGAGGACACAGCCTTAGAACAAAGGGAAGTTCTTTTAGAATGGAGATAGGGAGAAACTTCTTTAGGCAGAGAGTGGTGAATCCATGGAATTCACTGCCACAGAAGGCTGTGGAGGCCAAGTCATTGAATATGTTAAAGACAGAGATAGAAAGGTTCTTGATTGTCAAGGGGATCAATGGTCATGGGGAGAAAGCGGGAGAATGAATTTGAGAAACTTATCAGCCATGATTGTATGGTGGAGTAGATTCTATTGCTGAATGGCCTAATTTCTGCTCCAATGTCTTATGGTCTTATAGACTGCAGATGACTTGAAGGCATAGGACATGAACCAAGAGAAGAATATGCAAAGAATGTCAATACCAGAATGCAATCCTGTTTGACCCTACTATGGATCCTGTATAATCTTGTTCAACATATTTTGTGGAAAGTGGACATCATATTAAGCAGCTTCAGTTGGCTGTATCAATTTTATTCAGCAGCTTAAATTGACTGTCTTTGCTCACATGGTCGAAAGGCTTACTGAGATCAATGAAGACAACATACAATGATCTCTTTGCTCATGGTATTCTTCTTAATGCTACCAGTCTGAGAAGGTCCAGTCAATTGTACATCTCCCAGTTCGAAAACCATCCTGGGATTCATAATAAATGTACTCAATCCAACGTCTGCAGTTCAACATCTTGTATATGGCTACAAGAATTAACAGGAATTGTGTCTTTGTTGCCAAAGAGAATGCTATTTTATGGTATTACAGTAATCCAAATAAAGTGCAATTTTCTGAGTTATCAGGTCATAAACTTCAACAATGACAATATTACTTTACACTGAATTTTGCACTGATAATGTTGAGGTAACAGAACTTGCCATAGTGATAAATTTTGCAGTAAAATGCAAAACTCTGCAAGCTGCAGTCCAATATACACTGTACTTCTACCTGCTGCATTGGACCAGTCCTCACCAATTGTAAATTCTTCAAAATTGAATTAGTCTTGGATTCTTTTTAAATCTTGTTTTTGTTTACATTGTCTTTTTTATAATCACAATCTCTTAGTCACATATTTCTTGCCCAAACTATACTTTGCCAGATGTACATAATTTAAATCTATTGCACAGTTCATGCTTAATATTTCTTGATTTAGATCCTGAATATCTCAATGAAGATTCTTCAAGTCTTGCTCTTTCATGCCCCACTCAAAGATCCCCTTTAGCCATACAGTCATAGAGACAGCACGGAAACAGACCCTTTGGTCCAACCGTCCATGCCGACAAGGTAGCCTAAATAGATCTAGTCCCATTTGCCAGAATTTGGCCATATCCCTCTAAACCCTTCCTATTCATATACCTATCCAAATGCCTTTGAAATGTTGTAATTGTACCAACCTCCACCACTTCCTTTGGCAGTTCATTCTATACACGCACCTCCCTCTTCATGAAAACGTTGCCTTTTAGGTCTCTTTTAAATCGTTCCCCTCTCGCCTCAAACCTATGCCCTCTAGTTTTGGATTCTCCAACTGTGGGGAAAAGGCCTTGTCTATTCACCATATCCATGCTCCCATGATTTTATAAGCCTCTATAAGGTCACACCTCAGCCTCCAATGTTCCAGGGAAAATAGCCCCAGCCTACACAGCCTCTCACTGTAGCTCAAACCCTCCAACCCTGGCAACATCCTTGTAAATCTTTTCTGAACCCTTTCAAGTTTCACAACATCCTTCCTAGAGATGGGAGACCAGAATTGCATGCAGTATGCCAAAAGTGGCCGAACCAATGTCCTGTACAGCCACAACATGACCACCCAACTCCGATACTCAATGCACTGACCAATAAAGGCAAGCATACCAAACACCACCCTCACAGTCCTGTTTACCTGTGACTCCACTTTCAAGGAACTATGAACCTGCACTCCAAGGTCTCTTTGTTCAGCAACAGTCCCTAGGACCTTACCATTGAGTGTATAAGTCCTGCCCTGATTTGCATTTCCAAAATCCAGCACCTCATGTTTACTTAAATTAAACTACATCTGCCACTCCTCAGCTTATTGGTCCATCTGATCAAGATCCCGTTGTACTCTGAGATAACCTTCTTCTCTGTCCACTACACCTCCAAGTTTGGTGTCATCTGCAAACTTACTGACCACACCTCCTACGTTCACATCCAAATCATTTATATAAATGACAAAAAGCAGTGGACCCAGCACCGATCCTTGTGGCACACCGCTGGTCTCAGGCCTCCAGTCTGAAAAGCAACCCTCAGCACCATCCTCTGTCTTCTACATTTGAGCCAGTTCTGTATCCAAATAGCTAGTTCTCCCTGTATTCCGTGTGATCTAACATTGCTAACCAGTCTACCATTAGGAACCTTAACGAATGCCTTACTGAAGTCCATATAGATCATGTCCACTACGCTGCCCTCATCAATCCTCTTCGTTACATCTTCAAAATAATTCGATCAAGCTAATGAGACATGATTTCTCATGCACAAAACCATGTTGACTATCCCTAATCAGTCCGTGCCTTTACAAATATATGTAAATCCTGTCCCTCACGATTCCCTCCAACAACTTGCCCACCAGCAATGTCAGGCTTACCAGTCTATAGTTCCCAGGCTTTGCCTTACCACTTTTCTTAAATAGTGGAACCATGTTAGCCAATCTCCAGGCTTCTGGCACCTCACCTGTGGCTAAATAACTCAGCAAGGGGCCCAGCAATCACTTCCCGAGCTTCCCACCGAGTTCTAGCGTACACTTGATCAGGTCCCAAGGATTTATCCACCTTTATGCGTGTTAAGACGTCCAACACCTCCTCCTCTGTAATATGGACATCTTTCAAGATGTTGCTATTTATTTCACCATGGTCTCTATCTTCCATATCCTTCTCCACAGTAAACACTGATGCAAATTACTCGTTTAGCATCTGCCCCATCTCCTGCGGTTCCACACGTAGGTGGTCTTGCTGGTCTTTCAGGGGCCCTATTTTCTCCTTTATTACTCTTTTGTCCTGATGTATTTACAGAATCCCTTTGGATTCTCCTTAGCCCTATTTGCCACAGCTATCTCATGTCCCTTTTTTGCCCTCCTGATTTCCCTCTTAAGTATACTCCTACTGACTTTATACTCTTCTAGGATTCACTTGATCTCTGCTGTCTATACCTGACATATGCTTCCTTCTTATTCTTGACAAAAACTTCAATTTCTCTAGTCATCCAGCATTCCCTACACCTACCAGCCTTGCCCTTTACCCTGACAGGAACATACTGTCTTTGGACTTTCGTTATCTCATTTTTGAAAGCTTTCCAATTTCCAGCTGTCCCTTTACCTGCAAAAATCTGCCTCCAATCAACTTTTGAAAATTCTTGCCTAATACCATCAAAATTGACCTTCCTCTAATTTAGAACTTTAACTTTTACATCCGGTCTATCTTTCCCCATCACTATTTTAAAACTAATAGAATTATGGTGACTGGCCCTAAAGTGCTCCCCCACTGACACCACAGTCACCTGCTCTGCCTTATTTCCCAACAGTAGTTTTGCACCTTCTCTAGTAGGTACATTCACATACAGAATCAGAAAATTTTCTTGTACACACCTAACAAATTCCTCTCCATCCAAGCCTTTAACACTATGGAAGTCCCAGTCTATGTTTGGGAAGTTAAAATCCCCTCCCATAACCATCCTATTATTGTTAGAGATAACTGAGATCTCCTTACAAATTTGTTTTTCAGTTTCCAGCTGACTACTGGAGGGTCCATAGTACAAATAGAGGGCAGTTGGTTGGAGGCCCCCAGTGACAGCATATTTCTGCTCAAAAGCAGGCAAAATATCTGTCAGCATGGTGAAAGGCAAGTGCTGTTCCTTTGCTGCTGATTTGAAAATCCAAGCATCTGTGCAACCATTTTGACTCTACAAATCAAAGAAACCATGAATACTGGTGACTTGTGAAGAAACCAATTACCTTTGTGTGACTTCAGTATTGGTGGCATCCCAATTGCTGCAGTTTAATTGTGTCTGGAACTGAGCCACAAGATCCCGGACCATAATCTCAGAATTCAGTTGGACTTCCATTGTATCCTTCAATAATTGGGGGGCTTGAATTTTTATCACTTTGTTCAACTGCTGCTAAGATAAAAAAAAGCTTAATTTCATTTAACTTTCTAAGGAAACTATATTGTTGTTGCTGGCAATTTTTAAAAAAATAAACATGCAAGTAAATAATTATAAAACAATAACCAGTACAAGTCCAGTTTTCAAATGTAATCTGGAATGTTTTGAACCATCAAAGCACAATGATTATTTTAGGCTGCAATCCAGGTTTGAGTACAGAAATGCATAGACTCACAATGAGTGATAGTCAAGAATTGACCTCATAATTATATCAATAGAGTTAATCTTAACCAACTAGGAACCCTTACCGCAAATAAAGCTAACTTTTCAAAAGCAAGTACAGGACTGTCAGGTTGGGAATTTCCTTGGGGTGCTTGCTATTTCAAAGGAAGTTTGTTATAACTGCCAAGGTAGACAGTCAATATAGCGATGCAGAAAATCTCAAAGGAATAAATGGTTACAATGAATTTTTGACCTCCTTTAAAAAAAATGATGAGGCAAATGATTTGGGGCCCTTACGGTCTTCTGCAAGAATATAGTTTCTGTTTTCTTCAATTAGCGGGTCTTTAAGGTGCAGCTGCAAGAGCCATCCATCTTATTTAAATGAAGTGACCTTTCCCTGATCATTGGACAGCATTGGAGATGACAGGTAGTCAATCCAGGTCCAAATAAGTTGCTAGTTTTGGGAAAAACTTAAACAATATCAGCCAGCAAAAATAGTAAATTAGGATAAAACAAATTAGGGAGTACACTCAATGAGAGGCATATATTCTTCAACATTTCCTTATTAATGACTATTTTAATCAAAAAAGCAAGTTATCACTAGTATTATGAACCATAATAGCTGAAAATTTTGCTCAAGATTTTTCACACAGAATAGAAGCAACTTGTAAATTATTTGCAAATGGGATTAGGCACATTACTCTAGTCACAATAACGTCAGGCTTGAAAATAATTTGACAAGTATCTGCATTCAAGGAATAATTATATAGAAAGTGTAAACTGAAATGCAAGCTTGAATTCCTCATACACGTTCCCACCTGTTGCTTGTCATGTTTGTCTGTGTGAATCTTCTTTAGAAGATTTTTTAGACGCTTATCATATTTCTTATTGCTGTTTTCATTCAGTTTTCTCACCTGTGCCACAAGGAAACATGGAATCTAAAAAACAGAAAGAATTGCAGAAAGAGAGATAGTAGGAACTGCAGATGCTGGAGAATCCGAGACAACAAGGTGCAGGGTTCATCAGAAAAGGGTCTAGGCCCGAAACGTCAGCCTTTCTGCTCCTATGATGCTGCTTGACCTGCTGTGTTCATCCAGCCCTGCACCTTGTGTCAAGAATTGCAGAAAACATGTTTCTCAGTCTTTCATTTCTCACTTTTCATAAAGGCAAAGACAAATAGAGAATTCTCCAAACAACTTTTTTGTATAATTCACAGGTTTTAATCTGAATATATTTACTTCTGAAAATAATCAGGTCACAACTCAATAAATTTAAAGAATTTTCCATTTAGCTAGGAAGTAAAGTTATCGGTGATTTTTAAACTGCACTTACACTTGTAACTATTTGTCTGAGACTGATTACAGCCAACAATTTTTTTAAATGTTCTGCCTAGCTTATAAAAGAATTATATGCATTGGGCCATAGACTCCTGTGCAGAGGCTAGCAACTGGAGGGTGAGTTTTAAAAATACATGAAATTTAAGCTTTAGTTTATGAAGTGTTCAGTAGATTCAACTCTCCATCAGTGTCTTATCTGAACAAGGTTAGAAACTCCTTGCAGTGTCAAAGGGATATGCAACACAGTTTGCTCCAGGAAAAGTGGCAGCACTTTGAAACAAGTTCACAGTGATACAAACGGAGCAACATAAATATATTCCTGTATTTATATCTCAGTTTTATTTCTGCATTATTTTAAATATAAAGTATCCCTCTACCTCATTAGAAAAGTGTAAAAATAAGCAAACAGGTAGCAATTTTTTATTTTCAGAATGAATGTAGCCCAAAGTTAAACATGATAACAGCAGAAAATGGACATGTGGATTGTGATGTATGAGGCCCAGTCCTCTGATACAAGTCGAACTCAAACTGTGTATCATTTGCTGATTTCCATAATAGCTAAATGCAGCCCAATGCTAAATGTGCAGTCAAGTGGCTGTATGCTTTGGCGGGGTACCCAAGCTAATGAAAGGCTAGGCACTATTTCAACCTAGCCTACACTACTTAAAACCAGCTGCACATCTTAAAGGGGAAGTGCATTTGGCTGCTCTGAGGTTCTTTGCTACAGCACTCAAGTCTGTGGTGCGACTTGTGGAGAGGAAGAAAAGTCTCTCCCACCCCACAGGAGATCAGGAGTCTCCAAACATGCCCTGAGAAAGCAACTGGATTGTTGCAGAAAGATTTAACAACCTCACATGAGAGATCAATGTCAGTCTGCGGTCAAGAGGAATGATCAGCAACAAAGGTCAGGTGAGGTGTGGGCCTGTCTGTGAAATTGTGATTACATTCACTGGTGCCATAATGGAGATATTTTGACTACCCTTCTTTCAGCTCTGCCTCAGCTAGTTGCCAAATAGTTTCTGGTGTGTGGGCCACATACTTAAGATGGTTGGGCTGTGGAATATATGGCTGACTACAACAGATATGAGGTGGGCTGATTGACATCAAGATCAGGCTGCTCTGCACAGTTCCAATATGCACTCCCGGTGTTTCTGTCCTTAGCAACATGAAGTCCAGCACACCCAGCAATAGAAGTGTGCATGTTCACAGTCAGAGCTTCTTTGGAGCTGAAACAGCAAAAATATCAGGAAAAACCTGGCTGCTACATAGTCAAATTGTGTGGTCAAACATATTTTCATTTTACCATCTGAAAAATTAACATACTGTCCAGAGAAGGTCTTGGTAGTGGATGAGCATCCGAACAACATTTGCAGCTTTTTCTGCCTGCTGCTTTTCATTGCCATCTGGAATTTTGTTTGGAATTCCTTTGTGCATGAAGAGGTTAGGGGCAATTATTGTTGAAACGTTCCAGAGATTCATCTTGTTTTTCTTTTCTTTATCAATCACTTTGCGTAGAAACTCTAAAAGAAGCTACAGAAATTAAAATATTTTGTTAAAATATACAGTAATTCATTACTTCTGTTACTATTACAGATCAAGACTGTAAGTAAACATGATGAAATAGATACCAGATCAACATTGTTCATGTAAAAGTTAACTACGGGATTTTTAGAGAGAGGAAATTGGTGTAAGCTTGTTCAGGGTATGCTGGAGGATAATAACTTATTGTTTGAACCAATTTTCTTTGCAAAGAAAAAATTAAGGCACTATTTAATCATTTTGGTATTTATTATAATTCAGCTTGCTCGATAACCACATTGCATATCTGAACTATTGTGCATCACCCAAGAATAATTTGTAAAGGTGTAAGTCAATTTTAGCAATTCAAACAATGATCAATCAAGCATTTCATTGCTGCTCCTAAATCCCCTATGATTGCTTGCTGTTTTTGTGCTTCACTGAAGCACTTTATAAACAACAACAAGTTATAAGTGTTGATGATGGTGTCACAACTAATTATGTTTGTTATTACTCCAAATGGAAGAATAAGTCTGACTTTTTAAAAACTAAACTATGATTAGACTTGCTATGCATCACAGATAACAAATTTAGATCAACTTTATATTTTCAACCCTTTTGTGCTTCAATACCTAATGAAATTAGCATTGCTGTATGAGGCTTCTTGTATTCAAGCATTCATGCGTGTTTTTCCCAAAGGCTAGTCCTTGGCTCGTTGGCTGTAGACGCTTCATCTTGAACAATTTCTTGGCAGCTTTTTGTCAATGGTGGTTTGTCATTGCATTCCATTCTCAAATGTAGGATGAGGAGGCAGGTCCCAAGTTTACCTCAGCCAAAACAGGAATCACATCGATGCCACTAGCATCTCTCTAATCAGTCAGGAAACTGTGATAACCAGACTTTTTTTTCCCCTTATTATATAATGCTATGAAAGCCAGGGCCTGGATAATGTATGGGTTTTAACCAAAGCTTAATTGTTGTCATGAAAATTGTTGCATAAAGCAGTTTAACTGATATCATGGAATAAACCCCACCCACCAGAATATAAAGGACTGTTTTTGGAAGGAACTGACCACTTTCAGTTCCAGTTTAATTGCTAAGTCCAGTAGCTATTAGAAATTGTACTTAAATTAAGCCTGATATCTCTCAAGAGATGAACATGTAATCAGATGTAATGTAACTAGATATTTAGTACTACGTATTAAACCTGCACTGTTTATTGACGATTCCTCTGACAAAGACTTCACGTGGGCATTCTTCTTATTATCGGTAACTTAGACACACATCAAAAGGAAGGGTTGACGGTAATGAATCTCCCCAGGGTATCTCAGTGGTTCCAATGAACCCAAGCACAACATATAACGTGTTGGCAAGGAGTTGGATTTAGCCGTATATACTAAAAATCTCCTCCACTTGCTGGAATATTCTACACAATATTAGGTTGAGCACCTCAATCTAACCTCTGGTCATTGCCTTGCAGATAAGCATAAACCTGCCAAAACAGGGATGAACCTTGACAATTTCTTCAGAGAAGCTATGTAGAAATAGAAAAATGGAAAAAAAAATGCTACAGCATAGTAAGGAGCACTACTCTGAGGTTCAGGCTGAGATACTTCATTCAGGCAAAGTAGACAAGCAGTTTCCTCTTCATCTAGCCATGCTGCACTAGGAGTATTTGAGATTGGCCCTGTACCTGAAGCTTTTCAATATGGTGCCCCCCTGCCGACTATAATTTTTTAGTAGATTTGTGGTAGGCCATGACAGAAGGTTACTCTGGACAGACTCGATCCCATCTTCTCTCTTTCTTGTGAATCCGTCAAGTGAGGCCAGAGTACAGCCACGTATTCAAATTTAAATTAGCTAAGGGAAATGTGTTTTCTGTATCTATCCAGTCATGACAGCTGGTTATCTTGGCTGCACAGGCCCCAACTTCCAATATTCAAGAGAAAGACTATGGGGAGTCTGAATAAGAAGGGCATGTTCAAGTTTTTTTAGGCATCAACACCAGAAATACAGAAGATTAGACAGAACACATTAAAACAATCTTCAGACATTGTGTCCACGATAACAGTCACCACTCTACCCATCACCCTTAAGACTTGGCAATGACAACTTGTTGTATCCAAATTGGTGCAATCCCTGATCTGGAACCTGCTCCCATTCTGGATCTGGATCTTGATGCTAAGATATATGCAAGTGAGATCAAATAGTCTGTGCGGTGATGTTGGTTAGGGTGATAAAATATGAGAAAACACCCTCCTCTTCTATGAATAGGACCGTGAGCTCTAATGTCTGCCTGAATACACAGATAGCATCTGTTTAATACTTCATCTGGAAGATGCTCCAAAGGATCAGCCCTCCTTTAGCATTTGATTAGCCTTGATTGGTCTTGAAGTTTGAGACTTGGGACCATAGCTGGAAGCAAGCTACCGCCATAAGAACATCTTGAAGTAAATAAAACTCAAATTTTCCACAAAGATTAAACAGTAAAACTTATCCCTGAACGAGAAGAAGCTTTTATTAAAAATCATGAAGGAAGATTTCATCTGGTCATTATGAATTAATAAAACCATTAGATTACGATGGATATTTTCTCTTGTCACTATTTCTAGCAAATTCATAAGCTTGTTCTTGTCAAGTTCAGATATAATGTCACTCAGAGTATCTCTAGGTCGTCATCCTGCTGGGAACGGGACAGCTGACCTATTGCTGACGGTGAGGCTGGAGTCACATTGCAGACTGAGAATACATCAACCAGGTGCTGCCATATGGGTGCTTAGGACTAGGCAAGGACAAGTGCTGTGCTTATGGAATTTACTGAAACAAAATGTGTTTCATTTTGTTTTTCCTTACAGGCATTCACAATCCAGACTACAGGCCTCAGCCACTGCAGATTGAAGACATGGTGACACTGGTGACCCAAAAGTTGAACCGTCATTTCCCTCTCTCTCCACCAGCTCAGCTACACCCACCTCAGTCAATTTTAGGATCAGAATCACTTTCTGGTGAGTGTAGCAAAAGCACATCTCAGGTAACAGAGGCCGTGACAGCAGAGGTCCCAGACATTTGAAGTACTGCTGGGGATCAGACTCAGCTTGAGGATGGACATCTTGTCACAGCCACAAGAAGACTGCTGGAAATATAGTGCAAATCAGAGGAACATGTGGCAGAGATTCACAGAGCATGGAGGTTTCCATGCAGGCTCCAGCATCTCCTTGGCATTATATTGTATTTCTGAGATAAAAGGGTTGACTATTCAAGATTTTGCTGAGCAGGTTAGGCCTTTATTCATTAGATTTTACATGAATGAGGGGTGATCTTATTGAAACATACAAGATTCTTCATTTGACAGGGTAGATGTTAAGAAGATGTTTCCACCAGTGAGGTAATTGTACACTAAGGGGCATAGGTACAGAATATGGATACGCTCATTTAAAATTGAGCTACGAAGGAATTTCTTCTTCCAGTGGGTAGTGAATATTTGGAATTCTCTACACGAGAGAGTTGTGGAGGCTAGATCACTGAAAATATTTAGGAAGTGGCAGATCTATTTTTGAAACATCAGAGAGTTGACGGCAATGCTAAGTTGACACAAAAGAAGAGTTGAGGACTGGACAGAACAGTTATGATCTTGTTCAATGGTGTGGCAGGTTTGAGGGGCCAAATAACCTACTCCTGCTTCTAATAATTATATTCTTATGGTTACATAACTGACCAGGAAGTGAACTTTCACAGGTGACTGGCATGAGGTGACCATGTCAGTTGTGGTCATCCATTGTGCTCTCCTTGAACCTAAGACGTTCCTGACCGTGGATAAATCTCCCTCCAACATTATCCCCTTCCCATCCATGCTTTACTGCATCTTCCCCTTAGAAATACAGTTGCCCACCTGCACAATCCGTCCACCCAGTTTGCAAAACCTAACCCTCCTAAATAGGCTTGGGAACCTTCCCAAGACAGTGCCACCCACCCCTTATTCCCCCACACCCACTTTCCCCTTAGTTTCACTGGTTGGAACTGACAGGCTGACTGTGGCCTACCTTATGAGTGTCATAAGCAGACAGGCCTCGACGAGAACTGACCAGACCTTTGACTAATGCCTGTACTTATCCCCAACTATGTTAGCCATAACTCCACTAAATCCCCAAGCTGGTAACTATGGAGCCATAGGACTGACTATGCCCCACTCCCAGACTGCAGAAACACTGACCCCTGACCAAGAATGCACGAGTAAGGATCAAGAGTAGGCCACTTGGCACTTCAAGCCTACTCTGCAATTCTGTAGGTTCATGGCTGATCAGATTTTAACCTCGACTCTACATTCTTGCATACACCAATAATCTTTCATCCTCTTGATAATTAAGAATCTAGCTACTTCTTCCTTAAAAAAAAAATCAAAGATTCTGCATCCAGAGCCATTTGAGGAAGGGAATTCCCAAGTCTCACAATTCAGAGAAAAAAAACTTTCCACGTCTCTGTTTTAAATTGCTGTCCCCTTATTTTTAAACTAGTTCTAGATTCTCCCCCGACAGGAAACATCATTTCCACATCACCCAGTCAAGTCCCCTTGGGATCTTATATGTTTCAAGTAATTTGCATGTGACTAGCTATCTAGCCCTTCCAGGGATCAATCTATTAAATCTTTTCTGAATTGCTTCCAGCACATTAACATTTCACATAAGTATGGTTACCAGTACTGTATACAGTAATCCAGATGCAGTTTTACCAATGCCCTACATAACTGAAACATACATCACTACTCTTGCATTCAATCACCCTTGCAATAAAACATATGCCCTCTGGTCCTAGACTCTGCCATGAGGGGAAACACACTCTCAGCATTTACTCTGTCAAGCCCCTTAAGGATCCTTCATGTTTCAACTAGATCACCTCTCATTCTTCTATACTCCAGCGAGTAGGCTCCCAACCTGTTTATCCTTCACTCATAAGACAATCCCTCAATACCAGGGATCATCCTAGTGGACCTCCTCTGAACTGATTCGAAGGAAATGTTATCTTTCCTTAAATAAAGCAACCAAACTGCCCACAGTATTCCAGGTGTGCTCTCACCATCATCTTGTACAGTTCCAGCAAGATTTGCCCATTCTCATTCTCCAGCCCCCTTGAAATAAGGTCCAACATTCCATTAGCCTTCCTGATTATTTGCAGCATCTGTGTGCTTGCTTTTGGTGTTTCATGCATAAGTACTGAAATCCCTTTCTGTTGCAGCTTTCTGCAGATTTTCTCCATTTAAATAATATTCTATTCTTTTGTTCTTGCTTCTAAAAGGAACAGTTTCACATTTTCCCACTTTATACTCCATTTGCCAACTTACTTAGTCTCTCACAATTTCTATACAAGCTGTTTGTACACATCTCAAAACGTGCATTTCCACCTATTTTTGTGTCAGTTGCAGATTTGCCTATAGTATATTCACTTTCTTCCTCCAAGTCATTAATATATACTACAAACAGTTGCTGTCCCAACACTGATCCTGGTGGAACCCCACAGGTCATAGGTCACTAACTTGAGAAAGAACTCTTATCCTCACTGACTGTTCCTGTCCATTAGCCAATTCTCTATCCATGCTAATATACTATCTCCAAAACTTTGGGCCCTTATCTTATGACTTCACCTTTCGTGAGGTACCTGTGTCAAACGCCTTCTGGAATTCCAAATACAATATGTCTAGTTGTTCTCCTCTAACAACTCTGGTTCAAACTTGCTCAAAAGCTCTAATAAATTCATCAGATAAGATTTCCCTTTTGAAGCCATGTTAATTCTGCTTGAATTAGATTATGATTTTCCAAATGTTCTGCTATTACTTCCTCAATCATTGATTCCAATACTCTTCCGACAATAGCTGTCAGGCTAATTGACCTTTTTCTACCTATATACCTATGTGGATCACAACATATTTTGCCTGTCACCCCAAGTTCCTTTACAGCCCAGATAAGATATCCTAAACCTAGGTACCAGGTATGCAACACAGCCTTCAAGAATCTCAATCCTGGTTTAGAGAACAGTGTCTATTCCCTTAACTATGCTCTCCTCAATTACAATGATACTTCTCTTTTCTCCCCTCTCTTGAATAGCTCCCTGTACCATGGTGCTATGGTCTGTTTGCTCATTCCCCTACAGCCCCTGCTCTTGTCTGCACATGGAGCATGAATCTTAAACCTGTTAGCTAAGCTCAAGACCTGAAGCTCCTTCAGCCTACCTCCTGCATTCCTCTACCTACCTCACTGGTAGTGATATCTTCCTGTCCCTGACCACTGACTGAATTCGGGGTAGTTTATCTAAGAGGTGTGACTGCCTCCTGAAACACAGCATCCAGCTAACTCTCCCACTCCCTGATGTGTTGCAGTGTTTAAAACTCAGATTCCAGCTCATCAACTGTGAGGTGGAGTTCCTCAAGCAACCAACACTTGCTACAGATGAGATTACTATTAACAACAATGGGGTTCACCAGCTCCCACATTATACAGGCTTAAAGTTAACCTGTTAAAACAAAATCTTACAAACTGCGAATCAAAAAAGCAAGCAAAAACTATCTTTTGCCCTCCGCACCGACTACCCACACTGCACCAAATTCCCAATCTGCTCCAAAATCCCCAATGTATCTATTCACTTGGTATGTACCCCAGTCTGGATGTGATGTCTTCTTCCTGACCTTGTGAAGCATACTGATTGTGTATTTTCAACAGGTCCTCTCTTAGATACAACTGAGATGATTCACACTAGTTAAGCTTTAATAGTAATTAACATCTACTGAGGCCTTATTCAGGTCTCAGGTGATTGTCTGATAACTGAGTAACTGCTTCACGGGAAACAACATATGCTGGACATCTGCAGTTATTTGCTCCCACATTGTGCTTCACAGGAATCTCACCTCAACACCCAGTAGATGCATAAAAGATGCAGTATGTTGCTCCTGACATTGGGGTGAGCCTCATCAAACTTCTTATGTGGTTCTGCCACGCATCTTTTTTCCGAAGAAGGGTCCAGACCCGAAACATCAGCTTTCCTGCTCCTCTGATGCTGCTTGGCCTGCTGTGCTCATCCAGCTCTACACCTTGTTATCTCACTATATTTTACATTGTTCAGGTCCCTATAAGATTCTGCCGTACTTAATTACATTTTAATTAGGGAAAAGTACAGCCACATTCTAAAAAGGGACTTAAACCTTTGTCGTAACCAAACCAGATAACTGAGAAAAAGGGTAACAGATTCATCCCTTCTCACCTGGTGGTAGCAGAGGACAGTTGACTACTCTAAGAATCTGACTAACATTAAACAGACCAGAGATGTAAATTTCACTATTTTTGCAGGAGACTTCATCAAAGATTAATATTCCTGCTTTCCAGGCAGTGAGAAGTAGAAATAGCCATTACTAAAGTTCTGTTTCTGTCTGCCCACATAATTCAAAGCTGATTCAACCAAAGACAAAACTGTAATAAGAGCATTTAAAATTCGAATATTAAATCTGGTGATGGTGCAGTGCATTTAAGAATGCTGTATCAATATAAGTATTATTTTTTTACTTAACAATTGTGTGGAAAATCAATACGATATACCATACGACGATGAGAAATGGAGCAGAATTAGGCCATTTGGCCCACCGAGTCTGCTCTACCATTCGATCATGTCTGATATGTTTTTCAACCCCATTCTCCTGTCCTCTTCCCTTAACCCTTGATCCTGTTACTAATCAAGAACTTATCTATCTCTGCCTTAAAGACACTCAATGACTTGACCTACACAGCCCTCTGCAGCAATGAGTTCCACAGATTCACCACCCTCTGGCTGAAAAAGTTCCTCCTCATCTCAGTTCTAAGGGGTCATCCCTTCACTCCGAGACTATATCTTTGGATTCTAGTTTCTCCTACTAATCGAAACATTTTTTCCACATCCACTCTATCCAGACCTCTCAGTATTCTATTTCTCAGCATAAAAGAGGAAAACTAATTGGCAAGTCTTCATTATCCATGAGGGATATCACGTAGGGACCCTGAAGTCTAACTCCTGGCGTTCAACTTTTTCTTAACAATTCTACAGTTGTTGTGTTTAAAAAAAAATCTCTTCATATACCCCTCCAGATTTATGCAAAGAACATACTGACCATAGTCCTAAGTCTGCCTCATCGAACTGATACAGGTATGTTTAAAGTAGAACATTGAGTTTATCTTTCCTGCAACTTTCTTACGAATATTGATCTAGAAAAGATACCCTCCATCACTTCCTTTCAGGGTTGAGTTGGATTTTTTTTTCAGGTTTTGTTTTTATAAATTGTGGTGGTGGTGACTTTTTGACATTGGGAATCTTTCATTGCTGTAATAAATCTTACCTTAAGCGTAGCTCTGTATGCATCTGGAAGGATCACCACAAGGAGATTCAGGGCATGTATCATCTGTATTTGATCGGAGATGTCTGAAACAAATAAAGTTGTTGCATTACATGAAAATTAAAAAGAAATAAAACAAACCTTGTGCTCATCTTTTAATAAAAATAAAATGTGCAAAGAATCATATTTCACAGAAGATGGTCATTTAGCCTACCGGGCCTGTGTAGACTCTTCAGTAGAGCTATTCAATTAGTCCCTCTCCCATTTGCTTTCTCAATAGCTCAGTAGATTTCTTTCCTTCAATTATTTACCCAATTCAATCTTTAAAATTACTATTGAAACTGCTTCAACCGCTTTTTCATTCTGTGCAACCTTTTACAATCATTCTCTGTCTTTTGTCCTCCAGCCAATTTTGTTTAGCCATGTTTGTCAATGTTGCCGTAATCTGATGGATTTTTAATTGCATTTGTACATTAACGATAAAGTTCAGCATAATTTTATCAGCTGTCTTCCTGAAGCCCACAGACAGAGCATCATCCACACTATCTTCAACTCTCTCTGGTCCTTCGTCAAAGAAATCAATTAAGTCAATCAAACACAATTCGACCTTAACAAATCCATGCTGGCTTCATTTGTTGTCCATATGGATAGATTGTTTAAGTATAGTGGGAACAACATAAACAGGACATACCTTTGACTGTTGCAAAAGCAGTAACATATTCTGCTGTTAATAAGGGATACGGCAATTCACGGATAAACATCTTTAATAAACCTGCCAGATCATTTTGGTGGATGTTTTTCCAGACAAAACATTTTTGGTAAAAATTTGCATCAAGATCCTTTTGCAAATTCTGTAGGCAAGGCAGAAATTGCATTTATTCAAAAATAAATACTGAATTTTAGAATTCCAAAAATATCTGTCAGTAAGTTTGTATAGTTCACTTTCTGTTTGTTTCATTAAAGTACCTTTATTCTAGCCACAGAACCTGAAATGCGGAGAATCCCTTCTGTTTCCAAGCCGTTTTCTTCCAGACAGCTCAGCAACTATGGGAAAAAGGAATTAGTTTTATGCTGTAACAGGCCATAAAAATGTATAATGTATTCACCCAAGAGTCCTCTGTTGCCATTTTGGCCAATGAATTAACCCATCTTTCTTAAACTGATTAACATTCTGCTAATTTTGACAATTCAGACAAATGTGTTAAGTTTTTTTTAAGTATTCGCAGAATAATCTGAGATTTCGAGGTCCTCAAGTACTGGATGTATTCTCAACTGTGACACTCGTAGACATTTGGAATTGAATTCCAGGGGATAGTTTAGTCCCTGCTCCCTCAGTAAAAAATGACAGGTTAGGGGAGGGGGATCTCACTCACAGCGACAGCTCACCCACAGTAACTTAATACTGGAAATACTATTAGTTGTTTTAAGACAAGATTTCCATCCTACCTCAGTAAGACAGGAACATAGGAATTAAAAGCAGGACTAGCCTCTTGTCCCTTAAACCATGCTCTGCTGTTCAATAATTCATTCCAATTGTGGTCTCAACTCCACTTTTTTCTGTCTTGTCACCTACAGCCCTTGTCTCCTCTATCAAAAATCTATTTAATTCTGCTTTGAATAAATTTGGTGACCCAGCTTCCACTACTTCATGAGGAATAGAATTACATATACTAATGGGCTCTGAGAAAAAATTCGTCCTCTTATAAGGAAGATGCCTGATTCTTAAACTGTGTCCCCTAATTCTAGTCTCCCAACTCCTCCAGTCCTCTCAGAACCATGTATGTTTCAATAAGATCACCCCTCATTCTTCTAAATCTCACTGGGTATAGGACACAGACTGTTCATGCTACATTCATTAACAAAAGCCCTGCATTCCAGGAATGAGGCAAATGAACCACCTCTAACAATTCAACATTTTTTTTTCAAATAAAGGTACTAAAACTGTGCAGAGTACTTAGGATGCAGTTGCTCCAAGACCCTTTACAGCTCCAGTCAATTTTTTATGTTCAATTCCCCTTGCAATAAAATCCAACTTCCCATTTGCCACTCACTGCACCAATCATATTGTGGCAAGACCTGATGAAAGCAACTCAGTTGAACTGTTCAGATGACCTGCCTTAGAGAGTAGCTAGACAATCAGTTAGCTGAAGCTTTATAGTCCCAGCAGCACCAAGGCAAGAGGTGAATACTGCTAAAAATGGCAGTCTCACCATGCCAAGCAGCCCAGGATTGGTGCTCTCAACAAGGGAATGGGAGTAGGGGGAATAGTTCATGCCACCAAGTTGGGGAATGACCTAAAGGGCAAGGCATGCCAAGGAGAGGCGGAGTGGGAGTCTGTTTCTGATGAGTCCAGGGATACTGCAAGGTAGATACCTTGCATGACACCAGCCTGTGCAACTAAAACTGCTGTGCTTCCTACAAAGTGTGGGCCTCTCCCTGCCATGGGTAATATATTAAATCACCCGCTTAAGAGACTCATTGGCCCAAAGGCAAACAACCCACCCTCCTGTACATCTACCTCAGCCCTGTTAAACTTTAGGGCAGAGGCTGTGGGAAGTCCACCCACTTGATTTTACCTTCCACCCTGCCTTCAAACCCTTAGATTTTATAAATACTGCTTCTAGAATTTTTTAACTTGTCTTTTTCTTTGCTCAAATTTCTATTATAATAAAACAAAAAGGCTCACCTCCTTAAGGAACAATGGAACTTTAGTGTTGGGGTCAATCTTCTGATCATTTTCAATCAAATGTGTGAGTGGGACACCAAAAATTTTATTATCTGCACGTAAAGAAAAATCGCATTGGTCCAGCAGTCCTGGCATGATGATTAGAAGTTCCTTCCCACGGTTTTGCCATTCTCCAAGTTGTAAATGGTTCTCTACACTGTTAATTTGAAATCTAAGTATTTTGAGCACTAAGCTTGAGGTTTACCTGGCTGACAATCAGTGGCAAGTGGTATGCCTCAGGGATCAGTGTTGGAACTCCAATCATTTACAATTTACACAGATGATTTGGAATTGGGCACCAAGTGTAGTGCGTCGAAGTTCTCAGATGACACTAAGATGAATGGTATAGCAGATTGTGCATAGGACACTGAAAGTCTGCAGAGGGATATGGATAGATTCAGGGAGTGGGCAAGGGTCGGGCAGATGGAGTACAATATCGATAAATGTAAAGTCATCCACTTTGGTAGGAATAACAGCAAAATGGACTATTATTTAAATTATGAAAAACTGCAGCATGTGCTATGCAGAGGGACCTGGGTGTCCTGGTGCTTGAATCACAGAAGGTTGGTTTGCAGGTGCAACAGGTAATTAAGAGGCAAATGGAATTTTGTCCTTCATTGCTAGAGGGATGGAGTTTAAAAACAGGGAAGTTATGCTGCAGCTGTACAGGGTGCTGGTGAGGCAACACCTGGAGTACTGTGTACAGTTTTAGTCTCCTTACTTGAGAAAGAATGTACTGGCATTGGAGGAGGTGGGGGAGAAGGAAGCTCACTAGGTTGATTCCGGAGTTGAGAGGGTTGACTTATGAGGAGAGATTGAGTAGACTGGGACTATACTCATTGGAATTTAGAAGAATGATGGGGAATCTTATAGAGACATATAAAATTATGAAGGGAATAGATAAGATAGAAGCAGGGAGGTTGTTTCGACTGGCAGGTGAAATTAGAACTAGGGGGCATAGCCTCAAAGTAAGGGGGAGCAGATTTAGGGCTGAATTGAGGAGGAACTTATTCACCAAAAGGGTTGTGAATCCGTGGAATTTCCTACCCAGTGAGGCAGCTGAGGCTACCTCATTGAACGATTTTAAGGCAAAGACAGATGGATTTTTGAACAGTAAAGGAATTAAGGGTTATGGTGAGCAGGCGGATAATTGAAGCTGAATCCACAAAATGTTCAGCCATGAACTTATTGAATGGAAGAGTAAACTCAAGGGGCCAGATGGTCTACTCCTGCTTCTATTTATTATGGTTCTTATGTTACCCGGGATCATTTACACAAGGTGGTCTTATCTTCACTGAACAGGAGGTAAGGAGGAAAGCAGAATCTTAAGGAGATTCACTCAGGAGTGTTCTTAGTGGCCAGCTTTACAACTGCACTGATAACTACCCACAAGGCTGCAGATGGCACAACAGAGAAGCTACTTTATGTAAAAGTCTTACCTTCCCAGTTATTAAATGGAGCTTTTGTTCAGACAGGCTAAAAGTAAACTGCTTAAGATTTTCCTAACCAGCTGAGTTCAGGTATTTTAATAAGCCTGTTCAGACATGTTATGACACACCTATGGATCAGGTGGGTCTTGAACTCAAGCCTTCTGGCCCAGAGGTGGGACACTAATACTGTGCTACAAAAGTCTCAACCAGCTAAGTTTAACCATGATGAACTCTATGGATTTAGTTAATTGTTAACACAATGAAGTGTGTTGTTACAAACTGAGGGGTGACCTTATAGAGGTTGATAAAATCATGAGGGGCATGTATAGGGTAAATAACCAAGGTCTTTTTCTAGGGATAGTAGGAACTGCAGATGCTAGAGAATCTGAGATAACAAGGTGTAGAGCTGGATGAACACAGCAGGTCAAGCAGCATCAAAGGAGCAGGAAAGCTAACGTTTTGGGCCTAGACCCTTCTTCAGAAAAAAAGGGTCTGAAGAAGGGTCTAG